AGATCGCGTTTTGAGACCATAGAGGCATAAGGTAAAAATCGCTACACGAAAATTTTTCGACTTCTTTGTACGCCAAATAAAAACTAATCCTACGATATGCGTTAAACTTTGCAGAATGTGTATAATAGTGTTGCCCGCGTGAAAATAAAAAAAATTTACCGATTGGATAAGCGCGGGAAATCAAAAATTAAAAATTAAAGTTGTTTTTTGATCACAAGGTATATTAACTGTCCGAAAAAGAATCAACTCTGCAAATGCTTCAGTTGCAAACAAATAGACGCACTCTGTGTTTTATTAAATAAAAAGCATTAGCGTTAAAAATATACATAACGACTGACAAAAGCAACCCAAAGGCATTGAAGCAGAAATATATAAGTATAAATATGTAAAACAATGTATAAAAATATATGTTCATGGCATACTATACAATGTATGCCATTAATAGACACTACGACAGAAACTGTGGATCACATTCAACTGAAAAAAGAAAGGGTCATCGTTTTTTATGGACTTGAAGTTTGTTTTTTTTGTCTATCTGTTTATTACTCTTTGCAAACAAAAACCGTAAATCTGAAAGATTCTGTGATAAAAAATTATGATTTCTAATTATGAAGTCCAATAAAAATAGAAAGAGAGAGATTTTTTTGAAGATTTCATCTATTGAAAATTCGTGCAATAACCATCACTAAGTTTTTGGTATTGTATGCCATTTATATTGATTAAAAGAAGAAAATTAATACTATTTATAAATAGTTTTAGAGTCAGGGCATTCTAGTTAATTATAAAACACGTACATTATATTGACTTTAAAATGTATATAAAAGGTATCCAAAATAGTAATCAAAATGATCAAAACTATTTAACCGTCTTTAAAATAGACATCATCGGATATGCAATATAACTCTGCTATCACCTAAACCATTTCGTTGAACTTCTTCATTAATCTGAAACATTTTTTCGGAGGTGGCAACTTTGGCTTTGGGAATGAGATAAAGTCAGTATTTTGCACCAAAGATTAATAATGGTCGCAGTCCTCTGCTCCATTGGAAGCTAGTACCCCGTTTATTGTTATAGTGCTGGATCATTCACACTTGTTAAATTTAGTCAAAAAAATTCGTTATTCTTGCAGAACCTGAATCAGCTTTGTGGAACAGCAGAACACTAAAACGTATAATTGCCAAAACTGCTGATGTAAACAGACTGCACAATGGATCAAACTCAAATTCCGCATGATTACACACTACAGTGTTACCAATTTCTATAGATGATATAACTTGAACACAAAGTATAACAAACAAATGATCTACACTTAAAGTAAGATAGAAAATATTACTCAAAAATGCATGAATGCACTTATCACACCACATCATTTATAAGTGCGATAATAACTTGAACTTAAGCATTTCTTGACGAGAAGAATGAATTTTTTATTCTCAATTCAAAATTAATTAAATCCTAGCACCACAACATCGCCACTTACCGAGGATAACAGTTGCATCGTCACACTTTCTATATTGCAAAAAACTATTCAACGACTGCTGAAGTTCCCAAGCAACTTTACACGTCTGTTTATATATACCTACAGAGAATTTAACCATTCAAACATCATTTTGAATTGTTTTAATGCAAACCAAATTCAATGGAAACTTCGTCAGTTTTCCACAATTGTTGTGATCCTTAAAATATGCAATAAAGAAATTCTATAAGAAATTGTTGCTTGTCAGTTTTGACTGTGCGAAAATAGGAGGCAAGCATTATAGCTCAAAACTGTTGCTTTGCACACTGTTGTTGCTGTTGTTATTGTTGTAGTAATTGTTGTTGTGTAGTCTTCATGCTGTTGATTTCATTTGCTGTGTCAGTAACTGAAGTATGACTAAAATTAGATGTGCAATTACTTTGTATGTCATTCTACCGCTCTGGCGGTCTGCCAGTGTGTCAGTCTGTCCGTCCTTTGCCTAAACATTTGTCCAACTTTATAGTCAAAACGGAAGCCACCACAGAGCGGATGTGAAAATGGAAATACGATTTGTTTCTTTTTCAACACATTAAGTAGCTTCAAGTACATCGTATATCTTTTCGGATTATTTTAAGCAGGCAAGCGTTATAGGAAAATGAAGCAGTAACTCTGAGTGAGCATAGCGTACGTACACTTAAGCTTCTTAAAGTTAATATGAGCATAAATAGTTGATGTGACCATTTTCATAGCGAATTTTCTTTAACGTCAAAACAAAAAAGACAAAAAGCACACAAAATATCAGATTAAGCGAAAATATGTAACTAAATTTAAAAATATTTTACGAAATGTTGACTGTTGTTGCTGGGCATGCAAACTTGTGCCTAGAAGTATGCTATATTTAAGGCAAAATTAACTGCCACGTTAGCGTTGAAATTGGTCCAAAATATTGGCATCTCTCGGATATCCTTAAAATTGTCTTCATTTGACCATTGGCATTTCATACAAGAATACAAAAAAAGAACACGGAAAGAAACCATTTCGAAGCAGAAAAAACTGTAGAAGAAAATGCAAAAATAAATTAAAGAATAAATTTTGTAAATATTAGCACAGAACAGCTGCGGGGCATGCACGGTGTAAAATAATGAATAGCACAATAGAATAGGTAACAACTGGAGCACGGAAGACAACAGGACCAACTGAACGAACTGAACCAACTGAACAAAGCAAAAAACATTGTACGTTTTGCAATGCGTTGGAATTAAAGAATTTAATAATGCTGCCAGTTTGCTGGAAATCCTCAGGACTCTTCAACGAAGCAAATATTTAGTTATGCAGAAATTTTTAATTATTACCTACAATGCTCTCAAAACGCTTAAATTGTTGGAACCACCATCCTCTGAAACTATTCCATTAAATTTCTTGTCACTGCTGAAGAACTTTGTAATGCGATACTAATGTTACTCCAACAATTCAAAGTTTCCATTGTGAAGTTTAATTAATTTAATTAAATTTAATTTAGTTACTGGATAAACACAAATAATAATGAACAAACCACTTTCTTTGGACAAAAAGTTTTCTCTTTTTTGAACACATTTGTTTCTTTGGATTTATAGCAACATTCTTAATCATAACCACCAGAGCAGCAGAAGCCATAGGGGTCCATGTAACACACATAAAAGACAAGCTAGAGGAGTGCTGTGACTTAATGAAATGATCTGAAATGAGAATGAGTGTTTGGCAATTGACAGAGATCAATGAAAATAACTTTTCATGACCCGTCTCTCCAATAAATGTCAAAGATGTTAAATAAATTACATGTGCGAAGTATTAACTATTTTGTTGCCTCGATTTGACGTCACTATTTAAGTGACATATGTCATTCGACAAAATTTACGTTTTGTATCAAGTTTAAGTGTATCATTTACTAACCGCTGAACTTTTTTAAATGCTGGAAACTTGCTACAGAAATGGTAAATTAAAAAATGGAAATGCTTACTTCTTGTTTGATAGATTTATAGACAAATATTATTTAAAATCCATAACTAATAATTGAAAAATAATGTCATCTACATTGGAACTTCGCAGTTACCAATTGAAGCTATATGTTTGCATATAATTTCTTATTTGGGAGAAAGCAAGACGTATCTAATATCTCTTTACGGCACAGCACTTAGTTGATTAATGCAACTCCACATCGAATAAACGAATACTAATACAGTCAGTTTACTAGCTTAACTTTGACTTGTAACCACATACACCACGATGTTCTTATAACATGGCATAGTTATTGGTCTTAGGCACTATGATAAAAAATTAACACCCAGGATCGGATACCGTACGTGAAACTCATTAGCCCATTTATACTCCAAACAGTATGGAATGTTGCCTACTGAATTTAAATTGTCCCCTGTGAATTACATGTCTTACCTCGTGAATAATCTAATCCTTTTCCCGTTTCAATGGACTGGTGTTTCAGACTACATAACATATCCTGTTTGTCTTTCTTGTGAGAAAATTTGTTTGGACCTTAAATTTAAATTTATATGAATAAAAAACTAATCAAACGATTTGTTTTTTGTGGATTACCTTTTCCGGTATTGTCGATATTTCGTAATATATACAATTCTCTGTTAGCTACATGCTATATATCTTAACCCACTGAATATGTGAAGTATGCAAGTCTTAAAATTATTAATATGGTATATGCTGCTACTGTCACTTTAACTATCGGAATCTCTTTCTTCCAGTCGCTTGCTCTAGAGAAAGCATGGTGAGATATTATAAACGCGCATTGTTTATTGAGACACACCATTTTATATAATTTTGTAACATGCATATCTCTTTGATTATCGTTATTTGTTAAAAGTTTTTTGTGTTTTGGAACCACACATTGAAGCATGCTTTTCTCCATATAATCAGTTGCTCCAAGGACCTTGAACTTCCTAAGTTATTACAATTAGTCAAATATGCATTGCAAGTAATTTTCATGCACCATTATCACATTTAGTTCACGGAGGTGGTATGTCTGTGTGACGTCTGATACACCCACAAATTTAAGACTTCCAAATTCTACTCATCTAATTTTATAATACATCATATTTCAGCTGGTGACCAATGTTAGAAATGCTTAAATGACAAACTACTAGTGCATAACTTGTTTTGGTCATCTACTTTTAAGTTACAGCGATTCATATGACTGTATTTTCCTTCGATTAGAGTCTGTATCTCGGAAAATACTAAAACGAATCCTTCAATCGCAAAATTATTTTGTTTCTTCGACCAATGAATTACCTTCCGAATTTTAAACAGTTTAAGGTGAAGCACTCTCTGTATTACAAACTGTTAAAAACTTCTTAAATTTAAATATTATAAATGCAGTTTTAACCCTATACTTGCACTACACATCAGAGTTCAATGAGATGTCAAACAAAGAGTCAAACTCAAGATGTGCGGCATCTTTAAAAATTTAATACTTAAATTATCAACTTCAAATTGATAAGATAAAGCCGAACTTACTAAATTACTAATAACAATCTTTACTTACCAGTATATTGAAGAGATTACAAACTGTCGTATCCTTTGAAAGTGTCTGGCAGGCGTTGCCTTGAACACAACGCAGAGCTGCGATTGCAATCCAAAAATAAATCGCACTTTACAAAAAAAGCAGAAACAGAAAACACTTTGTTGCTTGTAGCACAAAAACTTCATCTGCTCTGACCTGACCCCTTGGATAAAGTAAAAATTAAGTCAATTCTTATAAAATTAGAGAATTTTCACTGTTGAATTTGTTAAGATGCAACTTTTGCTTTGTGTTTTGAACGACAAAACCGACGACACTAATTCCAAACTTGGACTGAAAAAATCCCATTAAACTCAGAACTCTAGAGCAAAATTCCAAGTACGAAATAAACACTTTCAAATTTAGATATAAATAAAAAGTCTTAAAAAAAAGTTGGAGCTACAAACTTGAAGACTGAACCACAACGGAATGAGCTGCGGTAACAGAATTTTACTGTGTTTTTCCTCTAATGAAAATAATTATGGCAGCAATGCGAAAAGTCAAAACAATGCCAAGAAAAATCACGTGAAAAAAAATAAATGAACTTTCTGTAAAAATGAACTAATGTATACTAACAATTTGTGCTGGTGTAACATTAACATCAGTTCACTTCATGCTGCAAGTACGTAAATTGAGTTGTGTTTCTATAGGTTTATGTGCATATGTGTGAAGTTGCAACAAAGTTACAACTTTAATTATTATTTCTTCATTGTATCATATCTTACCATCCTAGAAACGTATTTTTTTACAATTGCACTTCTCCTGCACTCACGTAGTAGAGGTACTTCACATCCTCCTACTCCGCATAATTTTTTGATAGTCGCTAGCAGACAACAGTCAACGCACAGCAACCAAATTAACACAGTGGTGGAAATAGAATTATGCTTTGGTCTTTGGTCACAACACCAACTTGCCTCCTACCCCTGCCCGACCACTTCGGTAGCTTTTATAGCAAAAATATAGCCAGCATTTTGTTCAACTTGTGTTAGTTAGTGCGCTGCCAGTACAGCCATACTGCCATACTGCCGTACTGCTCTACTGGCTATAAAGTACTGCCGTAGCCCTCACATTTGCAGCCATGGTCGTTTTTACGAAGTGATAATTAATAGCGCTAATTGAAGTTGTTCGCCGAAATAAAACACAGCACATAACAGTGGGAAGAAGCACAGCTTTGAAGCAAAACGCTTGAGCTAAATTATTAAGTTGCCCTAATCAGTTCGAGACTCCAGCAGGTTCCAGTTGCAAATATACACGCTTCATTGTTTGAGTTTTGGAGTTATTTAAACGCTAATAGGTTCATTTACGCACTGTAATGCAGTACTAAATATTACAGTTATCAGAAAAATGTTTTTGTCTTGCCGATTCTTCAATAGACGTCGCACAAATACTTTCCTTACAAATCTAACAATCCTAACAAAAGTATTATTCATTTATGACTCATTATTTACTTGCATGAGTAGTCAACCAATTTCATCCGTTCGTCAGCACTAATTATCTTAAGTTACAGGAAGTATGTTTATTCTCACAATTGTGTTTGATTAAATTATAAACTTAGAGAACAAATAGCTCACTATCTGACATAAATAGACGACTGGGCAGACAATTGGGTATAACTAAGTCTGTTCACTTTGTCTTTTCATAAGGCTTGTCATGTCGTTCACCGTGCTAAGCCAGTCTGAAAAAATAATATCAATATATTCTGTGGACTATAGTACACTATATATGTCATAGTTAAGATGTATAATATATATATTTATATATTTATATATTTATATGCACATACATTATTTGATTTTGTGATCCCTTAAACAAATTCAAGATTGCACTCTCATTAAACAAATCAAATGTATGTATATTCCGTCAGAGAGATGCACTTGGCTTTTTTCTATAAAATCATCTAAATAACCAGTTTTTTTATTTCAATGGAACACTGTTTATAATAATTGTTTAGGAACTAATAACTTTAAAGTTATTTAATTACCGATGCTATCAAAAGAAAAAATTCAAGTGCACTCAACTGTCACTTCAATACTCGCTATTATACCATCCAAAATATATATATGATGTATTATGAGATAATGAAATTCGAGACGAATGCCGCTAACATATTAAATTATACCGAACCTTTACTAAGGCTCGCCGTATATATATGAATTATATCATAATTCATATATATAATAAAATAAAAGCAAATGCTATGAGAATTATAATTAAAAATAAACAAAGTGTTTAAAATACATTAAGATAAATCTGTAAGCCATAGAAGCGGTATGTATTGCTTATAATGTATAATAATCGAATTGTCTGTTTAGCTTATTTTTGAAAGCAAATCGTTTTGTAGATAACTAACTGCGAGGCAATACTGTGGTAGTTCAAGTCCGTATTTGTACCAACTATCTTATTTTAGAATAATTAAAATGTTCAATTTGGATCGTACTTAATTATCTTTTGCAATTTATTTCACCAAATATATCAATATGGTCATAATCTCATTGTAAATTAGCGTTTATTTAGGCAAATACGCCGCAACCTATATTTCATTATGGTAATCATCTTATTGCAAATTAGTGTTTAATTAGCTATATACGTCGCACTTAAATACCATGACAAAATGTATATATATCAAAGAAATATATCAAATAAATCAGTATAATTCATTTCACTTTTCCACTTTTATAATAACATTTTATACAACCTCTTGATTACAGTACATACCTTGTGATCAAAAAAGAACTTTAATTTTTAATTTTTGAATTCCCGCGCTAATCCAATCGGTAAACTTTTTTATTTTCACGCTGGTAACACTATTATACATATTCTGTCAAAGTTCAACGCATATCATACGATTTGCAACACAGTTTTTGTTTGGCGTCTATACAAAGAAGTCGAAAAATTTTAGTGGGGCGATTTTTACCTTATGGCCTCTATGGTCTCAAAATGCATTCCCCGCAATGGCAATTTGAGTCGGGGGAGGAGGAATAATACACACGGGGCCATATCTGGAGAGTACATTGCTTGGTTGATGATATTGGAGGCTTTTTTTGAATGAAATTTAGTGTTTTGCCACCAGCCGAGAACCGACGCGTTTCAAACCCAAAACATCAGTTAAAATATGTTCGGTCGATCAATATGAGATGCCCAACAACACTGCAATCTCTCTAATCGGTTCACAACACGATCTACTTCGCCGATTCAATATTTTCTTCAGTAACAGAAATTGTTGGGCGGGCAGGAATCTCATCATGGTCCAAGCTTGTACGACCGTCTTTGAACCTTATAAACCATTCGTATACTCGTGGTTGTGACACAGACAAATCACCAAAGGCCTTTTTTAGCATTTTTTAGCAGTTTCGACACACTTGAATCCATTTGCAACACAAAATTTAATGCACGCACGTTGTTCTAATTTTTGATCCATTATAGAAATCGCCATACCAAAAATTTTTCGACTTCTTTGTATAGACGCCAAACAAAAAATAATCGTACGATATACGTTAAACTTTGACAGAATGTGTGTAATAGTGTTGCCAGCGTGAAAATAAAAAGAATTTACCGATTGGATAAGCGCGGGAATTCAAAAATAGGCCTCTCGTTATTTTTTGATCAGATGGTATATGATACGTTTTGACGTAAGCTTTAAATACGATACTCGTATATAAAATAACTAAATTAAACTAGAATGTGGAATATAGAAACTAGAATTTTAGACATAGTGTCTGCACTAAATTCATATTAGAGCTAAAACCATTCAAGTTTAAATATTACAAGTGTCCAAAAGTATTCGTATTTCATTTTTTTTGGAAAAAGCTTTAGCTGTAATAATTTTTAATGTAATAACACTACATTTAATCGAAAAGCTATAAGTATGTTAGCAATTAGAGACCTTAAACACCTTAATAAGAATAAATGTTTTGTGTTTTAATCCAAAGCACGTAATTAAGGCTTAACGCACGTGAACGATTCAGCTTTTTTCATCCACCTTCGAACGAATTTTTCCATCGTAGATTGCATTTTTGTGGAGATAGTCACACGAAACATGTGTCTTCCAACAATGGCTAAGAAACTACAATCACCAATTCATTTCGACTGCACAATAGTCCTCGTAGTTTCCATATTCAAACTTGATCGATTGGTCGACTCAGGTTATTTGAGAAACCAAGAGTAGCACTAAAAAGGCCAGAGCGTGGGTGTGCTAAATATTTTTGTCTTTTGTGATTGGATTAAGACTCTACAGTTTCATCTTAATACTAGGTGGATTGATGATTACCTGAGTACACAACAGATGGCAACGCCAGAACAAAACCACTTATGTTTTGTATATCTGACAACTTTTAAACGACAACTATAAAAGTTTCAAAGTCATCAGATGTTCGGTCAGCTTTTTCGAACTGGAAAAAATTGAATATCGTTCAGTAATAAAATTCCTCCGTTCAAAGGAATTACCAATGATGCAATCAAACTGGAAATGCATTCTGTTTTCGACAATCTTGCACCATCATCAACAACAATAATATATTGGACAACTGAATTTTAGCTTCCATATATTGGAATTCAAGTGGAATGGCTTTCATAGACTATTTGGAAAAAGGAAAAACAATAACATGAGACTACCATTGAATATTATTGGATTCATCAAATGAGGAAATCAGGAAAAACTACCATATTTGTCGAAGAAAAATTTCACGCACACGTCAAGGAAAATCATAGCAAATTAAAATGAATTAAATGAATTATGTGGCATCAAATGATGGAGTGGAATGAGAAACTGAGGTATATTTTGGAGGACTTGATAAATCGTGTAATTTAAAAGGTGAATTTAATTAACATAAATTTGAAATGTTGAAAGATCGTTGGATTTGATGTGTTGAGCAAAAAGGGAACTATATTGATCAATCCACCTTGTATAGTAGTAGAGTGCTCCTGCTAAACTCCACTATATTAGAGATTTGGTACATATATCAAAAGTTTAATCAATCTCCAATTACTAACTTTGATGGTACAATGAAATAAGATAACCTTTAAATTTTGATGTTCAATCGCTCTGTTCCGGTATTTA